CCTACTGAACTTCGATAGAATCAGGCTTCCTTCTACACATGTATAGCTCATGATTGCTAGTGCATAACGCCAAAATGCGTTTATTACTCTTCGATTTCCTCACTAAAATGCAGAATTCCTTTGCGATCTTGTCTGCTGGTTGGATTATAACCTTCTTGTCGTGAAAAGAGAGGTATCGGCATTTCGACCAAGGGAACCCGATTTGGGGTATCTGCATGTATTGAACCAGTGCATCATCCGATCGAACCGTTGCTCTTCGGTTTGTTTGTGCTATTCTTTTCCGGAAATCAGTCGATTGATTGGCGAAGTTTAGTAACGCAAACGTAGGATTTCAGTGAGACAGCGGTGTTTGTTGGACAATAGATTGTCCTGAATACTATGTCGCCTTTAACAACCAACCAACGAAGAACAAGCAGCAGAGAGAGACCCCACCATGGCTGCAGCAGAAGATCTTCAAAAGCGCTTTATACGTAAAAGTCGGGAAAAAAATTTGGGTTCGATTTCTGCTGCCACCAGTGTAGCGTCCCGAGGCTTCCCGAAGGGTGGAAGAAGGCATAAGTGAGGTTGAATACATGTATTCTGAAGACGACACGGCAAATGGGACCCGAGCGTGGCCCGAAGGCCAGCCCACGTGTACAGGGACCGGACAAATTCTGGTGACTGCCAAACGTCAGGTAGTCACATAAACAAAGCATTACACAACCCTCGTGGGCTGGAAAATCCGAACATATGCTTCTTTTTTCCCACTACCATTGTTCAAACTACTATAGATTGTTTGCTTGTACTTATGTTTACCACCCACCTCGATTTTTCATTGGCTTTTCGTAAACATTTGGTCTGTGTAACTCTTAAGCATTTCGAGTTTTGAATGCTCCCCTAAGCGGCAATGACCAGAAGTCATAGAGGAGGCACATTAACAACCTGTTGGAAGTTGTGGACATCACGGATTTGGCTCATAGTGTATGTCGAATGAGGAAACAAACGAAACAACTTTACTGCACGATATCCGTGCTAACTGTTATTTTGTGGCGCTTATACGACTTCACTCTTGGACTTCATACGATTAGATGTCACAAATTGCTCGTGTACCTTCACAAAACTGACCTGACAGACAATATCAACTCGTTTGGTTAGCTCGAAAGTAAAAAGGGCAGCTTGAATGATATTTAACGTCCCCTAGACTGTTCTAGTGGCAACAAAGGCACATTTACAGCCGTCAGTGGGACTAATTGGGGCCCATGTGCCACCCATTAGCATCATCATTATTCGACGTTGAACACGAAATCAATCTACTCTGTGATCTATCTGTTTTAAGATTCAGCACCGACGCACTCCATAGCCAGCCCCTGCAACGACCATCAAGGTCTGCTCCGTACCTCATCTTTGCTAATAAACCAATTTTAGCAATGCTGGTTTCTCTCTAGTAGTACACTGGTGCCAAGGTCTTAACCCGTTTAGGAACTGCATTGAAAGACAGGCGAAAGGGGTGATCTACACATTTCCATCAATACTCACTCAGACGAAGACTCAAGTAGCAAAAAACAGGGTCTAACAGAGCCACTTGGAAATCGGAGTTTGCACTTCCTCCTCCTCGCCACTCCGTTCACACCTCGACTGTCTCAGCATATTTATTTGGAGTCGGCTCAGTTGATGGAGAAACAGTATTATTGGGCGTTCTACCACTCGACACTTTTTTATAAGTTTTAAAAACGAACGTTCCAGCTTTGCTACAACAATACTTAGTGCTACTTTAATGCCTTTCTTATATGCCAAAATATGATGATTCGAGCATTTTTAGGAGTGTTCATTCATGCCTGTATTGGCCACTACACCACTCTTATACCTTTGCACACAAACTCAAGGCTTGGTAACGAACGGTGATCTTGAAATCCTCAGCGTGACCTTCATATGTTTCACTGATCGCTTGGTATTGAACACGTTTCGATGACGTCTAGGCGTACTCGTCTCTGTGAGAAATAAGAAGTTCTAGCTCTGGAATTCACCCGCGTCGACCAGCTGCTACTCAAAACAAGTCACCCAAAAATGCGCTTATAGTGCATGTAATTGTTCTTAGGCTGAAATTAGGTAAGCTGTTTCAACCAACGGAACTGGGTGTGGAATAGTGGAAAATGTTTAGTGTGACAATCAAACGAGAATAAAGCACATCACATTGAGATAAATCCGCTATGCAGTCAGCATTCAGCAGCAAAGTGCCTTCATCTGAATGTTCTCATATTGGGTATCCCTTCATTGCATATTGTACCTTTGCATTGTAAAAAATTGCTTGCGCCCGCCTAGACGGGAACAAGGCGCTGCAACTGAAGTGTAGCGGAGTAAACGCCAAAAGACAAATGATTGCACACACGCTCCCCGTCTCTTGAAGAACACGCAGTTAGCGCTTTTTATAGCAGATATCGCAACCAGACCCACAAAAGCATTCTTTACTTTTGACCACGTTCAAAGCACTCCATTAAACGTGCTGTTCATCTTTTGACGAAAGAGCCCCGACCGATCACGAGGATACTTCATTGGTGCACAAGCACTTACTATCCAGTTTTGTCGAAAATAAACGTGATGCAAAACTTTGATCAATTGTTTAACTCTAGGTTTTGGCAAAAGGCTAAGTAGGAGCTTCGCCGCCGTGTACCCTCGTCGAAAGATCTGACGCCCAGGTCACAGCAGAATCGTCCAAACGCCCGCGCTTCTACATCGATCAAGTCCATTCAGTCGATAGTAGTCTGAAGCCTTTCACCTCCAAGGAAGTAAATTGGCTTTATATTTACTCCAAAGATATACTTACTTCTACTGTGATTCAGAAGAAGTGCAAGCGCTGTGGATGAATAAGTGGCAGGCCTTAACAAAGGAAATAAAAAATCGACGTCTACCTCCGGCAATCACCTCAATCCCGTTGTCCACTTCCAATACTTTTCATCCATCTACCTACCGCGGCTATGCGAAGACATCAATTATGCAAACTACAGCTATAAGGTAGGTAGAACTCAAACGGGCACATAGCATGAAGACATGGCGATTAAATGATAGATTGCATGAGTGTGGCTCCCTTTACACCATCAATTGAACTGCGATGGCTTAAGTAGATGGCCGATGAAGGGAAGCAGATCATGATGTTTAAAATAGAGACTATGTAACGCGTTACTTGGTTTCGGTGAAGGATCACTTATGGTTCCAGCTATTGTGCTTCCGTCAGGCGACTCGAAGCTGAGATTTCATGGTACCTCTCAAGGCCATTTTGACGTTGTGAAGACATTTCCAACCCAAACGCCACATGTCCATTACATCATCACCAAACATAACAACATTGACATCGTGAGCAAGACCTTTGGGTAAAGAAAACTTTTACTCATATTCCAAACCACGTTCGTCAAAATTGCGTCCGGAATATTTCTGAGACCGACAAGAGTACGGACCATAGACCCTTCCCGCTATTTTACAGTTGCCATAGACACCCCAATAGTCTACCTCCTCATACGCCCAACGAGAAATCCAATTTTGTGTTAGTTTTGGCAAACGGAATCAGAAATATCTTATCCCCACAAGAGGCGCGCTTTACTTGCATAATGGACGCCGGCTAACCTTTACATGGAAAAAGTGCTTAGGTAGGATGACTAGGGACTGCACGTGATCAAGCTCGTGTACACGTCCAAAATAGGAGCAATGAATGAATGGAGATTGGGTGTCCGGGACCGAGCAGGCACAAGATTGGTAGTAGGAGTAGGATTGCAATATCGTGCATGCATAGCGCAAAGAATGCATCTCAGTGACAACTAGTGAAATAGTAATGTACAATTCGAAACGATTTTGGGAGTGGAAAAAGAAGATTGGTAAGCGAAAAGAGTCCTACGAAAGGGTGGACAAATCGAAATACTTTTGTAAATTGAAAGAAAGAGAACAGGTCACGGTGCACTCATGCGACAAGCGGTGGTCAGAGCATCATCAGCATTCCAACAGCTGGAAAAAGAACAACAACACCGACACAATAACAACTACAACAGTTATGTCAAAGGAAGGGAGTGAGTTGAGAAAGGAGAAGAGGATGAAAGTAAGCAGATGCCTACCTGAGAGAACAAAATAAGCGAGAAGTATGGCGAGTAGAACAGACGCTCAAAATAGAGCGCGAGAAGGCACCGAGAAACGGCACTTCAGGGAGGAAGAGCCACCCTAGGAGGAAGAGCGAATGCAGCGCCTAGTGGTTGAATGTGGAGTTACTGATGGCTGAGCCACCATTGGTGCTGCTAAAATGGGCGCTGCGCCCATTGTTTGTACTCCTTTTGCCAGGGACCTGGGGTGCTGAATGATGCAGGTTGGTGGTACGCACAAAAACTCGGGGATCCAATTGTGTAACCTTTAAGATAGCCTGGTCCAGTTCCTGCAAGAGCCCCAAAGATAATCGAATGTTTAACATCGACAGAGCAAAATGATTAAAGACGAGGAAGAAATGAGGGCAGAGCAAACCAAAGCACCATGCCATTACAGCAACCAGAAATGACCAGAAACTCAAGGATGGATAGAATAGAGTCCGCCCAAAAGTCTACCAAACGGCCCCATTAACTCTTAATTTTCAGACACCAATATCTTCAATTTATTATTTACTGATTCTGAACAAATGAATTGAACGTCCCTTCAGTTTCGATCTCTGCTTCCAATTTCATATAATTTTAACAGTATTTTTAATAAAAGAATTTATCTCAAAAGGGGAAAAGCATGAAATTCACGTGAGTACTCAAAGTGCCGAGGAGTATGCGGGTGCGCCAGGCTTTAGACGCGCCTCCCGAAAAAAGATCATGCTGTTTCTGCTTCCACATCTTTATAGACTACTGATATTAAATGAAAAGGACAAATAAAGGCAGAACGGCAATGGTGTGGGAATGTGGACACTGAAGTTGTTAAAACTTATGATTCAAACCAAGGACTTATCCCTTTTGAAACACTAATATGAATCCTTGATGCAAACCACAAGGCCAGCATCCATAAGCATACGCAGAAATCCGATTAGCTGCTAGATGCACTCAACCAATTTTAACAACCTGAAATACAATTGTGCTAAAATTCGAGCCAAAGTACTCCCCGCAGACACAGCAAAGTTCGGTGGATTGAATCACAAGCTCACAGGTCCAGAAATTAAAAGTGAGAGAGATGAGTAAAAAGAGGCAGGATCGCTGAGTTCGCTTGCGCATTCATATAAAGCGCCTTTCCACTGGAAGGTGTTGGCACGCACACAAACGCATACACGCTCCCGCATAGTGAAGGAAAAAGGAAGGAAAGTGGTTGAGATCAGATTACCTGCTTGGGGATACTCGAGTCTTAGATGGATGCGCTGCACGCACAGGCGTGAAACAGAGTTTATGTCGTTATTACGAAAAAAATATGGGTACATACGATCTATGAAAAAGGGTCGAAAATCATAACTTACATTGTCATTTTCGTTGGGAACGGCGATAAAGGACTATATGGAAGAAAAGATGACATATTATTCATACGAATTGATACAGAGTGGGCTACTACCACTACTTAAACTAATTGTGAAATAAATGGGTATGCAAGGCGATAACAGTACCGCTCGTAGTTTAAATAGAATGAAGTAATCATGACGTACTAGAAACTGAGGTCAAAGTGTCTGCCGGTAAATGGGCTAGCACCGGTCAATCCTACTCATACACCACAGGCTATCACCCCACCCAAACACGTGCGCCAGACGCATTCACCGAAACGCACGATTTTAGCGTGCATTTGAAATGCAATGACCATAAATATATCATAAGCCTTTTGAAACTGTTGTGGCGACTACTTGAAAGAGCACATGCATGAAAGAGCACCTACTATCGCAAACTCGAACAATATAAAATCTACTGAACAACAGACGCAAAAAGGAAGGCGGTAAGTGTTAGCTAAGAGATCACACAAACGTCTACTTGGAAGTCAGTACAAACCATCAACATTCGATTTGAGTTCCTGTAAGGCATGCTCGAGGCGGAGCTAATATTAGTAACCCTCACAGGATAGAGATGGACTAAGTCACCAAGAGGTAAGGATAACAACTGAAATACCACAAAAAGTTGAGAAAGAAATGTAACAAAAAACTGAAGAAAAATATGACAAAAAAACCTACCTCAGGTTGAATAAACCTCTCTGAATAGGTTTTTGTGGTCACCACCTGTGTTCGTTTTGTTGTTCGCTTGATAATTTTGCCAGTCTCATCCTCAATCAACTCAGATTCAATCTTGGGTTCGGAACGTTGGACCGTCTGCAGCAAAAGGATGCACTAGCCTTAAACTTGCTACTTAAGAACAAAAGTAGGACCACTGTACACACCACTGTTTCACCGACACCACTATTCAGAGAGATAGGATGCTGATGCCGACTCGGGCTCAGCTGAATCCCATCTATAGCATCTGAGAGCTCAGCATGATCCCCGTTAGCATGGAAACCATTGTTTGTGGACGGGGTGCTCAAAGGGGCTCGTTTAGCGGGGGAGGAGAGCATAGGCGTGAGACCGGGCATAACAGGTACTGCGCCGACAAGGTGAAGGCGAGGGGCCACATGCGTAGCAGGTGATAGATCGTCCTCTCGTCGATCCACAGAGGGCTTCATTACCTGTAGAGAAACAATAATATCGAACTTGTGTAAATGTGATGCGTTTGGAGTCGAGTAAGACAACAGAATCAATCTGGAAATGACGCCCCTTGCAGCCCAATATGAACCAAGTCAAAAAACCTATTTACTAAACCCATTTTTCGTGTACGGTAGACTTCGCAGCTGCGATAACCTAATCTTTTGAGTAAGGCATTGTTGACGGTCAAAAAACGATGGCCGCTCGAAGTCAGTTGGAGGTCTGATTAATTTGGAACATCTGGATAAATGAAAAATACTTAATTACCCCAAATCTCCATACTAGGAATCAAATTTCTCCATGGAGCAACATCACACAGGAAGTATAACACTCCTAGGTGGATCAACCTACCTCTGGAGGAGTTCGATAAAAGCATTCTGAGGAGCAATAAAAACTAAAGGCCATTAAAAACTGAAGAAACCTTAGCTTTAACGTTGGATTGGGTGAATTAATGTGTCCCGGGAGGAAGAGGACAAGCATTGAAATACCGAGGCAACGTGATTAACACTATCGGGGCTAGCCGACGAAGCTTGATGATCAAAACTATGCAAAAAATGAAGGAATCGGGAATCTTGGGCAAAATGAGAAGAAATAGCAGTGAGAAAACAAGCGCTAACAATAAATATGGGCAGAATAAGTGCAACTAGATTTCGAGCATATTTTCCGAATATCATGAAGGGTCCGCTTGAACGCCAAAAAGTGGTTCATTCCACATCATCAACTCCAACTTGCATGTGCATATGTGCACTCCATAGGCCAACAAAAGGAAAGTAGGACTGAACAACCAATTCTCAGGATTCTAGATCTGACATATCAATGAATCAGCACTAGCAAACAGAGGAAGAGTTTAGCTATAGCCTTCGATAAAAAATTTAACCCAAATAGGAAAAACGATGACCCTGACTGTGTAATTTAACGGTTCAGATTGCACCGGCCCTGTGGACTTCGATCGACATTGTGATGGCATGACATTTCACCCGTACTGTTTCGTCTATCATGTACTTGTAGAAGTGATGACAAAGGTTTAAGTCGGGTGAAAGTGCATCAGGAAGTGACACTCAGTCAAAAAGTAAGCTCTGGTGGTACTTATCAAGTATGGATGAGGGACCACTATCGAGAACAAATGGGGACTGACGTAATGTGTGCGGCTCCTATCGCCGCCCAAAAAAACAATCTCCCTTGTCGCTGTGATGGTAAATTTCGATGATGGTTCAACTAGGTTGCGTGGATCAGCACTTGCTGCATCGCCTTTTAGGCTATACTCTGCAATGCAAACTTGCCAACAAATGAATAAAAGTATATATCGAAAAAACAACAAAAAATCCCTACGAAAATCGAGTTTGGTAGAAAAGGCCTTACACTAAGAAGTGTAATGCGTAAAGAATGCCGTAGGAAGGATGAGAACAAGTCTCTCTACCACTCCCTGCCACCATAAATAACAACAGAGACACTAAAGCAATCAAACAAAGCAACTTTGATACAATAAGAGAAATAAGAAGCAATCTGAAACAACATAATGGGCGGCCAATTTCTCATAAACAAAGCCGCGATCAAGATCTAAGCAATCATTTTCGCTGCTGTGCCGCCGCAGTCCGTTGAGCAAGGTAAGATAGCACTCAAACCTCAGGCATTGCAGAATAATCCGCGCTCTAACCGCAAATTGGCACATAGGAGCTCAACAAGTCGTCGTAACTTTATCAAAAAAGGCCAAAACGCACAATGACGGTAATTCAGAAAATAAAAATTGGGACCTAGCCAAAAGATAAGCAGCGGCAGTTTGCAGGTAGACAACGGAGTGAGCTGATCCGACTTAATAAAACGAGTGAAAGGGGAGATCGCAATACTTTCTGGTTCGAGAAGGGGAAATAACTTATTCCAATTCGTAGGTACCGTTGGTGGGTGTACCAGTTCGTAAAGGTGACTCTTGACACCGTAGCCTTCCCCGTAAGAACTATAAGATCCCATGCACACAACCGGAATAAAAGATCATTAAATTAATCGCTCCTGGGTGATTATTTCCCACGAGATAATGATGCGCATCACCGAGGTTGCAAACAATGCAAACCACTCTTTTCGAACGCTGAGGGCGATGTTATTCTGATAGGTTGGCCTGACGTCTCGACTCAAGAGTACTGTTGTAGTCAACATGAAACATGGATATTTCCAAGGAAAGAAAATCCCTAGAGAAGGAAGTAAACGGAACGCTGTTTAAAGGTTAATTAAGCAAGTTCCAAGTAAAGCACCAAGTCACCCCCTCCACCAACACAGAACTCAACAATGGAATGGGGCAATCAATAGTGTCCTTCAGTAGATGCATGCCCAAAAAGGTAACTTCGAAGGATAAATACCTCACTGTTGGAGATTCCGATGGTTCCCCAAAAATGCGATGTAAAGCTACGAGACGATGCACAAGGATTGAAGGTTTCATAATTTTCGACTGGCATCCACACACCCAATGCACTTAGTTAGTCAAAAGAGCGGTAATTAATTTTTGTGGATGTGACTCACCGTCTTGGCCCCCGAGATGCCGACCTGTGGCTCGACGTAGGACCAACCTCGGCGTTTGTGCTAAAAAATAATAAGAAATGCGGGGTGAAGTGAGGTGATAGCTGAGGTCATTGAGTAACTGAAAAAGGCTGGGCATAGATGAAGGAAGAAGTCCCATGACTTACCATCGGACCAGGGCGACTGGTGACTTGCAGATTTTCTGGATCAACGTAACTCAAAGGAGTCCAATCAGGCTTTAAAAAAAATAATGGAGAGTTAAAGGATTGACCATCAAAGCACTAGGGCTCGCAGTGTAGATTAAACTGATAATCAGACGCTTCTAGGTAAACACGACATCGATATGAGGTTAGAAAGTCGCCCAGTGGAAGTAAACAAAGCAGGTGGTCTGCAGGAGATGGAAGCTATTAGGTGATAAGTCATGGGAAGGAAATCAATTCTAATGCATGAAGCTGGTTGTAACCTGGGTGTTGCGGTGTTGGTGTAAAAGGAAGGAAAGGGGAGGAAGAGCATGAGAGGACAAACGCGGATGTCGTGACCTGACACGGTTTCGGGCACATAAATACATAGTCACATAAACCACCCGTGCAATGTAAACCACTGCCACGAGCGCAATCAGTAGAGTATAATAGGCGAAGATCAATTATTTTGTTGAGTAATACACACTAATACTAACGGTAAACGAATTGTCAGTCTTTGGTAAATGGCAGAACAGAGTGGGGAAGGTGAGAAAAGGTCGCACTGTGAGTGAGTAATATGAATCCGGGTTCAAGTGTCATGCGGGTGAGTCAGCGTCACAATTCAGCCTCGCACACATAAAATTGCCGGCCAAGCTGTGCTTCCTCTGACGGCTTAACTTAAATCTGTCGGTCAGCCATTAATTTTTTGCTAACTGCAAGAGACGGGAGTCCATGCCGCCCTGTTTTTTTTGGCTAAATAGCACCACATCTTCTGGGAACGACAATGAAATTAGAGGACTTATGGCCAGACTAAATCGAAGCTAGTTTGAAATCGAAGCAAAACTTGAAATGCAGGAATAGGAGGCAAGAACGAAACCATGAAAAGGTACAAATTAGCTAAAACCAATCATCAATACAGTATTTCCGATGGACGCTACCCAGAAAACCAACTCTCAACTAGTTAACGTTGAACCATGCAATAGAATAATTCCGGAAATTACAAGTAGATTGGCCTAGTAAAATAAGAGCTACATTGGTAGCACGCATTACGCTCCGACGAGGCATGGATGCAAGGATCAAACTTTGAGGTACTTTATTTACACCGATAGTAGCAAGCTCTGCGGGATGCCAAAAACAAAAACACCGAATGCAGAAGAGCTTAAACGCAGTTCGATGCGATGCTAAACGGTTAATGTCCGCAAACCACAATTCATTCGCACCCTAGCTGAAAAACGGCCTCAATCCAATAATTCGAAGAAAAGGGCTAAAACCAGGGAACTTGAGTGTAGACCTTTTTATAGACTGATTTGGGCTAAAAGACAGTTTAGAGTCGACAATTCTCCTCCGGCACTGCGGTCAACAACTAGAGCTTCAAACGAAGAGGATCAGCGCCAGTTTTTCAACCGAGGTAAGTATGGTGCACATCCGCGCATGCAGGTGATGTTAAGATGAGAAAAAAATTAAAAAAAAAATGCGGTAACAAAATGCCCTCACACTTTGGAAAGAAAGGATCTATCAGCGCAATCAATATAGATAAAAATGAAGCATTTAACCTTCTTAGGTCCTTTAAGATCCTGACAAAGTAACAAGGAAAGGAAAATAAAGAGGACGATTACGTGGTGCTTTAACGGAAAATCATCCAAATACTAGCGGCCAAATGACAAAAACGATAAAAACACAATTTCAATTAATTAGCGATGCGTACATACTGCGATAAACGCATCAGTCTAAAAGTTCAGAGTTGAGTAACTACACCCCAATCTAGCCTATTAACTCGTCTTCGCAGCATTTATTCCAGATTGCTTGGGAGTACAGAGCAAGAGAATCTTACCCCAGGGAAGTAACTGAACTGGGAGTCACCAAAGTTGAGCTCCACGGTGCTGTTATTAAGTGCCACCGTGGGAAAGAAGGCGACACGTCTAGCAACGGGACTAGCGCCGGCCGCAAAAGCGGTGTCTAGATCGTCAGGGAGACGGTAGGCGTCCCCAAAGGGGTGTCCGTTCTTTGCCCACCTAATGGTACGCTGAGTTAAGTCCAGGAAGCAGCCTATCACGTCATCCTCGCCAAAGCTCTATACCAAAACGATAGCACCGCTTTAATTGGCTGAGTAATAACAATGCCAACTTTACTGCTGTTTACATCACCCGAGCATTATAGCTCCACATTTCTCATTTTCGCCTCTAATGCGTCTTATTAGAGGATTATGCGAATCGAATGAATAGCAAGTAATTAAGTAACCACACTAATCTATGAAATGATAGACCCTAATCCATATTGAAATGGATTCTTACTTGTGTAAGTTGCTTAAATATTAAAATTTATGCGTGACATCGACCAGAAAATTAAAGAACCACTAAAAGGCCTTCTGAAATTGAATAGACCGTATTTTTGGATACGCCTTGATTATTTGCAAGACTGCTATCAAATTATTTCAACACACGACAGAAGTTACCTCGCCATAGTTGTCGATTTCGTTGTTGTGGAGGCGTTTTCCCTGCTGCCCGCTGAGACCGAAACCCTCGCAGTCGGAGCCATACCCGAACCCGAAGGAATCAGTGCCCACCAAAAGACTACCATCCTCTGTGGTCCAACCGATTCGAGAGAGACCGTTAGACTCGACCACCCGCGCCTCGTAATAGAACCGGCCCTCACCCCTCACACCCTGCAAACCAACACAGTGCATGCCCGGATCAAATGCATTCGCACAACTTTCATGCCAAGATAATCTGCGCAAACAAGGAACAAAGTACCACAAACAAGAAGGTTCTTACGAAAAACCAACTACGTCTAAATCATGAGGCAAAGGCGGAAAACACTAATAGGACCACTGCAAATTAAATAGAAGTTGGGGTGCCAGTGAGCACTTATTGAGATGTACTCTAACCGATTCCAATCCATTTGAAGGAGGACACTGAACCCAAAATCGATACATGGGTTGTTAGAAAGTCGATAAATTGAGTTGGGACCTGGAGATGAGTAAGGCGGGTAACGTAAGTGCACCGACGGTGAAAAATGAGTAAAGGACCCACCTGCTCTACAGGACTCGACTACTAAGCCAAAAAGAAATGCACGTCACACCTGCTGCTCATGCGACCGCTTTTGAAACGAAAACAGGACACGACGACGAAATTCAACAAAGGTTAAGGTTTCCTCGTAAATGTTTATATAGAACCCTATGTTTAAATAAGAACCTCAGATAAACAAGAGGAAAGCTCAACTGAGATAAAATGGAGTCCAAGAAAATAAAAAAAATGTAAAACTTATTGTAAGGGGTGTAAATTAGTGAAAGAAGGTAATGGTATACTTAGCCGAAGACTATAGGAACAGAGCTTTAGTCTGTTGATCAACTGCTTGGTAAATGTGACCCGGACACAATTCACAAATTACTTAGTCTTTACATCATTAGGGACTACATTTAGGTTGGTAAACAGCAAATTCAGCAAAACTGGGCAGTTTATAGAGAACAGGATAGGTGTAAAGAACACTAAAGTAGCATTATATGATTATAAGGCTACGGCAAGGAAAGCTTAATGCCTAAAGTTTAATGAGAATTAACGTCCTCCACTACAGAACGGCGAAAAAAGATGCATCGAAAATGCGATCCACCACAGCTGGTTCAATGGCATTAAGCGGAAGAGAGGAGGCAGGATAGAGAGAAGGGGAAGAGAATACAATGGTTAACCCAGATGGGTTCACTTGTCTAAAGTTAAGGGGTGAAGTGTTACAAAGACATAATAACCCCAACTTCAGCCCCCGAGCGTAAATAATGGGAACATTATGCATGAAATAAAAATCCACACAACCAAAAGTGCCGAAGGCTAAACCAATAATAAAAACCTAAGACGTAAAATTACAACTGCCAAAAGACTTGGATAAACTAAGACCTGTCGACAATGAAAACAGGTGGTACAGATGCGCATCTCCGAGAAAGGGTATTGAAAAGCAATAAGTGATGGTCTCGAATGAAATATTGAGTCTTGACAATGATCAAAATGGGTAACAACATCTTCTACAAATGGAACACACAGAAGCCGTTTTATTCGAAAGATGAAGGTAATCCGAGATTAGCAAATGAAATGAGTGAATGTGACAAAAATGGCAGGTTAAGCAGGTCATCGCAGTTGAGGACAAGAGAGTTCGGGTCACACGATTGAATAAAAGGCTGAATTACTTTACAATAAGACGTGGATCCTCAGTTGCAAAAATGATTGGGACCTTAGGCTATTGTACCACAGTTGATGTGCAGCAAACCATCGCAAACACACTTCTCCACATAACACGGAAATGGATGTTACTATCGGCAACTTAATGAGAAACGTCATAATAATGGCATTTTTTAAAGGTTAAATTAGACAAGGTAGTGGGGTATTAACCTGTCAGGGCATCGGGTACCAATATGTATGGCAATTTGAAGGGCTTCAAGTCCTGATAGGATAAATAGAAAACAAATACCAATAACATTCGGTGAAGTAATTGATGCCATCACTACCAGAAAAAAAGTACTGGGCACCCAAAATCAATTAAATGAAAAATAAACTGGCCGGAATGTAAACAAGAGGACAGTTATCAAGGCGTGAGATTTGAAAGGCTGAACATGAAATAATCCAGAATATCAAGATCGACCTTATGAAATAGGAAAGAAAAATGAAAGTGAATATAGCCACCAGAGCAACGCTGAGAGCGGTCTACTCACCCTGTTTGCACGACAGCCCTGCCAACCGGAGCCCCAGTGGGCCTGAACGGCCATGCCGTCGGGTCGAACTTCCACACCCGCCGTAGCATCGTAGGGATTGAGGCGCCAGCCACAATTTCCATTACTCACCTGAGCGTCCTCAGACACCTCAGCTAATGGCACAAAACCGCCATATCCGCCGCTGCTTGTCGGTATAAAACGCAGGGGTGGTGAGGTACTACCACCAAAATTTAGTAACAAACGCGAGTCCTTCACCGAAGCGGCTGAAAACCAAGACAAATGTCAATGTACTAAGCATTCAGTTTACGAGGCTTCTGAGAAGCCCGTCTACGTAGACTTTTAAAGTTCAAGACTACAGTTCAAAGATGAGAAAGCTACTACGACTAGGTCTAACGATTCAAGGGGTGATCACGAGCGTCAAATCAACTGGAATATCGGTCGGAAATTTAACTCTACTTTTAGCAAGTTATCAGATCGTCCAACATTCATTATATTAGATTATGACCGGTAAAAACGCACCTTGAAGGAAGAAACAGCCCTTCTGTGTCATTAGATATCAGTAGAACTTTAAGAAGTGGGCTAAGTACTAAGTTTACTCACCAGCAATTCTCTGCACCATCAATTCATGTCCATTTGTAATCAATGAGAATTTGATCCCAAACTTAAAACCACGCCTAAGCAGAGCTGATAACTGCGACCGGTATTATCTTTGTGACTTTCAACCCTCGATCAGTGTTTCAAAAAGTAAAAACGACCCTCATCTTTAAGTTTTCCACATATATTACCGCGCTTCAGTTATTGACAAAATGATAAACAAGTTGAAAAAATAAACAAATAAACAAATTTTTCTACATGTAGGTAATGGCTAATTACTTTCGCAGCAAACTGTTTGATTTGAACTTTCATTAACATGAACCGGGAATGAAAGCTAACCAATGATCTCTGTCCATTGTAACAGTGAAGAACGACGCCTATATTTTGAAAATGCTATACATATTCACAGCCACATTTGACACACCCAGGAACTAATCCGAGCAACCTGAAAATTGAATTCCATTGTTACTAAAGTAGACTCTACAATCATGCTGTAGAAGCAATAGCAATCGTCTGGAGTTGACGTGTACGTGATTAGAGTGAGAATCTGACATCATCTTTAGAATTTCTGCTTCTTTTGGGCCAATTAAGAAATCACCAAGGTTATGACCGCTGGGCTACGAGTTCTTGCACTGCCAATAAAACTGGCGTCAGCTATTATCAAAAGGTCACGTTAACAGACACTTACGGAGATGGATGACCCCAGACCCTCGAAACACCCGTGATTAGGGTCAATCGATTTTGAAAATTATCAGATGGTGTGATTAGCGTGGGGATGGGAGATGATGTGTATTCTAATGGGGTACTTATCAGATTTCCAAAAATACTTATCAATATTGAAAAGAGTTTGTGAGGTTTCAATTATTAGTCATGTCACGTTCCTTTGATGCGACAAAAAAGCCCGCTGTCTTATGTGAATGGTTTACGAAACAGGTAGCATATAAAATTCTGTGCCTTCGCCGACATTTAATTCAAGCACAACTGGATATGTCTTCAAGATAGTAAAGGGACAACGCATTCACAGAACCGTTGCAGAAGATTAAATCACATAACTAACAAGGTCCTTACCAGGGAAGAAAGGTTCATTAGTGAGGTTCTCGGGTATTCTAAAGACCTGGGGACATTCGTTTCCGTCGCAATTCCAGGTCGCGATGCCCTGATCCAGATCAAGACAACACCCAATGACGGTGCCCTTTCCAACAGCAATGTGGCCACCAGAAAAGTCCACATGCTTGCCTTTGAAGGTGAGCGTGGCGGCTCCATGTCCACATTCAACGTTGCCGAGTACGAAAGCCTGGTCATCGCAGCCTAGTGAGGTTAGACCTGCTTCATTTGTCGCCCAGCCTACGCCTACTGGCCCATCCTCGAGAATCGTCGCCTCAAAATAGTAGCAGCCCGGTGCCTTTACACCCTTGTTCGCGCGGCAGCCCTGATAGAATGAATTACAGAAAGCTTTTCAGTCTATCTCAATTGTATATGCTAACCGAGTTATTTCGAAGCCTCCATCCTGGGAACTAATAACAAACACACTCCTCACATTAGGGCTGTAGTAGGTTCTATTTGAACTTGCATTAGAGCTACAACCACCATCATGAAGACGTATGTGCAAAAGAAAACTTATTACACTAAGGAAATGTGACAATTAGATGAATTAATGAAATTTTAAAAATGGGATTAACAACGTGCCTAGATTGTATTGGTAATGAAATAGGAGAGGTTGCTGAATCCCAGAAAGTTTTGGAAGAACAAACCATACCGTACTATGGAAGCATATTTCCTAAACAGAAGCGGAGAGTCAATACTAAAACACTCGGCGGTAGGAACGAACAACATATGGTTTGAAAGTGAAGCCCCATTGTTTTATGACATCGACTACAGTTCCGCATAAGAAGCCCTAATCACTTTATTCCTAAGTGAAGATAATTTCACTAACTAGCTATAAAAACCTATGAGTGAATAGGAAAATTACTTATTTTTTGGCTGGCTAAACTCTCCATAGCCTGTGCTAACAGCTCCAAATCCCCATGAAGTGATAGGATAAAGGAAATCCTATGCAATTTTGAGAACTTGCACACTAAGAAAGTTTTAACGGCGACCAAACGCCTGTAATCGAGAAGCAAGCCTGAGTCGCACGGTGACTAAAGAGCATATCACTTATAAAGCGAAGTCATTTGTTGTGGGTGGCTTGGCCGAAGACAACATTGACAACTCGCAACTATCCCAATCTTTAATTTTGCACACTGACCAGCCAGGACCAGGACAAGTTTTGAGGGAAGTACTAACGATGTCATTACGAGCACAACGACTTGCGTCCTTGATGTGCGGACGATAATAACCCTCAGGTTGCCCTTAGGCAAGTGCTATCACGAAAGACAGGCGATGTAGAAAATGGTCCAGCCTTGGGAACTGCCCCTCAAGGGAATATACCATGAACCAATTAAAGAAATGGGGTTAATCCTTTAGGAGCCAAAATATGCTACCGTAGTTATCATCTTCCAGTTGAATGCAATCTACTTCTAAGCTTTTGCTATTGGAAACGAAAGAATGACTATGGAGAATCAAAGAAGACAACTCAAGGAGAAAGTCTGAGCAACCAATACTACTCATTCAAATTACGCATCCATAATGCAAACCTATTTAAGTTCCCGAAATTCAGTCATTAAATTGATAGCAAGCACCTACTCTAACAGCCTTAAAAAGGGCAAAAAAGAGATTGAGCCCAACCTGCCATCCCGAGTCCGGTTGCGAGGCTATATCCAGTCCCCGATCATCAATCCCCAGACAGCGGCTTCGATCAGCAGTGGAGATGCGCCATGGTTCAGGCTTGAAGACCGGGCGCGGCTGATAGTCACCAAATTGATTTGATTCACTGGGACCCCTTTTATAAGCGGCACCGGTAGGCAACTCACACGCTGCCTCCCCGCCACCCCAATGTTCGGGACTATAACCGACTCCATCAGCACCCAAGGAAGCATCACCAGGTATCTGTGGCGCGTACTGATACTGGGAAGCGTCTACTCCGTATGCGGATGCTAGACGAACCAGAGCAAGACATGAGATATAAGGAAGCCTTTAAGGAGATTGTAAAAAAGCTCTTACAGAAAAATAGGCTGATTAAGGAGACCCGTGTTCAACACTGAAAATGGGAAGCTGAAGAGCCAACGACCATCATTAGTTTGGTGTGGAAAAATGAACCGAGGATATTGGAAGAGTATTCTTGTGCAGCAGGTAGTAAGAAAGGATTCAGGGAAAACGATGAAACAAAGACAGTTCATGACTTCGTGAGACAGAACTTGGGTCAGAGAAGGAAAATAATCACCTTACTGTGGAGCCGAAACTACAGCTTAACTCCAAGTTAGCCTACGCCGCTTCAGCCTAATTGTAAATGTAAAAAATGGGAGTAAGGTTGAGAATTGCACTTTTAAACTGATGAACACGGTTTCGGACATTGCCTGAAACGCAACGCAATGTATGGGATTGCTTTGCTAAAAAAGCTCAGCTACAGATTACCCACAGCCTAGCTGGTGGAAAACGACTCCCAAAAACACCATCAGGAAAGCCCAAAAAGTTTTTTAGTCAGGAAAAGCAAAGGCTATTAGACACCAACATAAGCCATTCAGACTCACACAAATGCTTTAAAATCTGCGTGTTTAAAAACTCATTTTTTACAAAATGCACGTCTTGTGAAATTCAAAATTGAGGTAATCGGTAGAATGAAATTTAAATGCATCAACATTTGAATGGCACCTATAACAGGAGTAAGAGTGGACAGATGTTACTCAGAGAGAGGAAAAAATGTAGCAGCAACTTACAGTTTACACCGTGAGGCAAGGTGAACCAAGCTGAAACGAGAAAAAGCATTACTCCAAAGCCAATATCACAAAGGAAGGAAGCTGTGAACACATCAGAATTACATTTTGATGTTAAACAATAATGACAGATGGTTAAATTGATTTTGACTTGACAATTACGGGGAAATAATTGAAGTACATGCAAAGAATAACTGAAACGTTGGAGTTAACTGACAATCATAGGAGGTGGAATTTGGTTCGTCAAACATTGGATATGCCAGTGTTCACAATCTTTGAAAACAACCTTCAATTAGACTCCTTCAAACCGTGTACAATCGTACGCGAAATGAATCTTAAGACACTTGCTGTTCTAACCATGCTTTAAGCATCAAAGATCACGTTGCTACTTTGTGCCGTTAAAATGAAATAAACTACAGGGCGTCAGTACAACCAGTCCGGGTAAACGAGCTCTATGAAGAGCTACTATAAGTAGACTTCCACTCGAGAACAAACGATCTCGTCACAGATGCTTAAAAGACGAGTAAATAAGAGGAAGTCAAGGGAGGGAGGTGGTTCACCTTGGTCGGTAGAAGTAATGCGTTTACGTTGTGGTTGCATGCGACGGATAGCGGGTTGGGGCCGATGGCTGGGCACAGCCTCGGAGCTGGTGAGGTCGCCCAAGGAGTTGCCCATACCGGGTTGGTTATAAGTGAACTTGCGGCTGGAAAAACCCGGAAGCACACTAGGCTTCCGTGAGTGCTCGTAGTTGCGCAGCCTAAAGGGGGCAAAATGCAATTAAAAATTACTCTAGTTAAGTACAGCTTGTTACGCTGCGGTAGGTCAACCCTCTCTTGTTGGGCCAGAATCCGAGATCTTTACCACCGACAAGGCACAAGAGACCTCCAATCATAACATTCAACAAATACTGAGGGCGTTACATCAACACAACATTCCCACTAAGATGCGTCGAAATGCAGGGTGATATCAAGGGACTGCAAAGTTCACGCTTTACACATCGATATCAAACTATGCAGCCTTATGATGACGAAGTTTACTATTCCGACGAAATCGCATGTCGAAAAGTTGCATAAACATTTACCATGGTGACTCAGGAAACTTCTTCATAAAAAATCCACAATCGGAAATGTAACACCCACTGATTCAAACGGAAACTGCCCAAGCTCATTTACTTTACCTGCAGCACTCAAATAGGCGTCGATGCAGAATCAAACGATTAGCCTATTAGCAGCATTCGTTAATAAAATTAGGAACACTGCCTTTCTGAACAATCGGTGACTGCTAAACGGGATTAAAAAGTATTTAGAGGAATGATAAATTGCATAGTGAAATTAAATGGAATCACGAAATCAGGTCAAATCAAAGGGTTTTGATGAACGCAGAACAAGTGAATACATGCATAATAGAGCAGTGTCAAAAAGTGTTGCACGCCTGGGGATGAAGACAATGTACATCGGAAATGATCCTAGCATAACACTAAAGAGCCTTGCGACACCTTCAAGAGCAAATCAGGCTCTACTACGTGTCAAGAGTCAATTGGCTAGGGCAGAGACACAGAAAAATCCACGAACAAATGAAAGATTTAGCTCGATAATATCACTAAAACTCGTTCAACATCGTGGTTTCACATCACACGTAAGGAAATAGCTAAATCACAACTCTTTACATAATGCACAAGATGCGCAAGTTCCAATAGCCATTATCGGCAGGATGACAAACCATGTCGGTCACACAACTATAAGAGACAGCAACGGCACCTCCCAGATGTTGAGACATTTTTGCCATCTGTCTTAAGCAACAAAGGCAAAATTAAATTTGGGTAAAAACGAAAAAGCCGACAGCACTATTGCTACAAAATGAGAACATTTTTCCCAGAATTCGTTAAGTCACAAAGAAGATTTAAAAATTATGTCCAAATGAACAGCTAAAATCCTCCTGAAGTTGAAGATATTAGTTTGTGTTTAATTTCGAACTACTAAATTAATCTTCTCTGGTAGTGATTAAGAGACCAATTTCTCACTTCTACGGGACGAGGTTATGCAAATCATTTGAAGCGAGAAAGTTGAGCTGAGGAAGGTAGCTTGCAACGCTCGAGAAACTCGGAAGGTGACGCATGAATTGGCGTCTACTAGCACTAAAAGTCACAATAATGTGAAGAAAAAATTGCGGATTAAGTATACAAATCCGATTGCATTTTTGGGCAAGCAATTTACTCCTGAAAAGCACACAGGCGACCTTTTGTGTTGCGTTGTAAGGGCATAACATTCATCGACAGCAAGCCAAGAATGGATCCTCAAGGAAAAGGGTAGGATAATAAATGTCACTTTCACCAGCCACCCTTTGGACGGTGATGAAGCCACTGAAGGGAAGCTGAAGCAGAATTTTAAAACTGTTGATAATAGTAAAAAAGGAACATGAGAGTGATGCCTTTTAGTGCGCATCATGTCAGACTCATAAACAGGACATTAATTGCGCGCAATTAAATGAGGCAAGAGGGACAGGACAGACTAAACTAGGCTTTACAATCAACGCGCATCAAAGTTTTTGACACTAACAGATGATTGAGAGTACATTGAAAAAATAAAAGGGAAGAGGACAGCAGAAAGGTTGTCATATAAGGAGAAAAGTATTACGTAAATAAGATGAGAAAAATTAGAACACTTTCCAGCTGGTAAAGTATAGAGATCGATGTGAACACTAATGACATACATCTCACTTTTACTGAAAACATCTGAGAATCGGGGCAGTGAAGTAAAAAAGAGACAACTACAGGCACTCAAGAGAAGGCGAAGGCAAACAGGGCACCATGTCGATTTGAGAACGGCGTTGAAAGGTGAGAGGCAAAAAAGGCAGCAAAGTTGGAGGATTTCGAAAAAAATAATAAAGACGAGGACAGTCTTCTGGCGAATTATTAATGCATGAACTTTGCGACTAACATAGTCACAAAATGGTGAAGAAAATGCCATCGATGTTGTCACGGATAACGCAAGGATGAAGCGTACGTACAATGAACGTCCCACCACAATATGAAAGCAAGCGACTACTATCAGCATCGACATTCAAACAAATAAGTTCGCATTACTCCAGTTGTCATTTTGGATCCCTCAAGTAGAAAAAAATAATAAATTAAAATGAGCTGGATGAATAAACACACATTGCCTTACCTCACACCATTTGAGGCAAATTATACCACCAGAAAAGTTCACCTTCAGTCACGTGGCAAGAGGCATCACCCAAAGATCGCGGAGGCATTACGTTTAAAATGGTCCGGAAAATTCAAACCAGTGAGATTTTTTGTCGGTGCGTTACCCACTCACAAAAGCAGCCCGTGAATCTGAAGAGGCTAAAACTGCCGAGTCGATAAAATTTAACTAGGATTTGAGTGACCGGAGGTGTGGAACGTTCCACGAACTCGAATGAGAAAATGATAAGTAGGAACGCGCCTCTATATTTTCAGTTTGGGGTCGTCAAAAATGATATTGTTTACCGAAGTACTTATCCTTTGCGTAGACTACAAGGACCCACCCATGTTGACATACTATCGTTAATGGATGTTTAAAAATGAATGGAAAGGACGCCGCGATTCCAAAAATGATCATTCCTGACCAGACTAGCTCATGAATAATGAACATTTGACGGTGTTAATTAGTAGCGCTACAAAAACAATGGTAAGTGAGCTGCTAATGGTCTAGCATCCATTTCTCAAGTTGATGCTACACCAGATTAACTTATTGTTACACCATAGCGCAACAATCTTCAAGATTTTTGGGACATAAAGAAAAACAGATACGCGTCTAAATGTTTTCGGCGTGCTGCAGCCACCCAAGGCGAGAGCAACTGAGCTACAATAGAAAGATATGCCTACATCACTCGACTTTACGAAGGCAGTGGCTTGCGATTTTAATGTATTTTCTGAAGTAATTGGATCCATCATTCACAAGTGCATTAAAAGGAGAAGTAGCGATTCAACGAGAATAGCGACAAGAGAAAACATCGTCCTAAGAATTAAAAGATGATAAACCATAACAGTGAGTTTTACTTCAGGTGTTCGGAGAGGCAATGCAATGCAGGACAATGGCAGACTCGAAGAAACAATTGCAGAACGTAAAAATATTACGGAATCGCCGTTAGGTCAAACCATTTAATTAAACGAAAGAGGTTGCAAATTTCTCACAGGTAAGATCAGAGGGACAGAATACTTCACAAAAAATCAACTACTAGAGAAAGTTGGAAGGGCCTCACCTGAAAAAGTTGTGATGCTCCACGCAGAGAGTCCAGAGACGCTTGGCACGTTGGGGCGAAGCGCAGTGGAAAGCGTAGGTCCGCTCCGACTGGTCTTCATCGAGAGAGCGCACAATCATTATGAAGTCGCGTTTTCGGTAGGACAATTTAATGATTCGTGGCCACGAGAAACGCTGCAGGCGAATGCGACTCAAATAGAGCAGCAGACCCCCGTAGTACACACCAAGACCGTGCTCCACTCCAGAGGTGCTCTAGGCGTGTGTAAACACGACAGTGGTTAAACAATTTTATATTCATCTACTTCAAATGAATAAATGATGGCAAGGTGGGACAACAAAGCAATGTGCTTTGACGTTAAGGGGTTCAAACCTGCAAGCAGTGGATCATACGTAGAGCAGCACCTTTACGACAGTGGTCCACTGTTTACCCTAAGCTGACAATCACCCCATCATAGTGATGAGTCGAGACATTAGAGCGGAAAATAATGCTCAAAACAATCTCAATGCTTAGGGGAAAGAAGAACTACATTGGTCTTGCTTATTCCAATCTGGTAACCGTTAATGTTGTGGATTCGAATGTATAGAGCTCGCATACTTTGGTAAACTACAAGATAACCATTTAATGCAGAGGAGCTAGACAAAGCAACGGGTCTATAAACTCAACTAGGTCGCTTGACCTTCATACATTTTTGCTCGCTTGCCATTTTAAGTAATATCGTGCTGGTTTGATTTTAGATTAACAAAATGCTCTACCCTAAAATAGAGCCAAAAAGAATGGCGCCAGCATGCTCCTTAGTGAAATGGTCGAAAATAGTAAAACCAAATACCATTTATACTTGAACAGCTTCATTCGATTTACCATATTAGTTTTAAACTTGCAAAAAGAGTAGCAAATTACAGTTTATGTTGTAAAATGGGAAACAAAACAAAACTACTGTGAACTAAAAGAGGGTTGAACAAGATCACTCCTTCTAAAACAGTCTACATAAGCTACTATCAAACTAGTCGCTCGCGTGGAATTGGAGATACAAATTGCATAAACTCCTGTCAACTTGCCCGTCATAAGACAACAAAGTGAGAGGTAGGAAAACATTGATGAGGAAAAACACTCTGCGTGTCTAAAAGTAATACAACTCCTGACACCGGTCTGTGGCAAAACGCGGGGGCAAGGTAGAAAGAATCTCAGCTGCACTAAAGCGTCAACGTAGAATTAGCGTGGCAACAATTTCCAGTTGATTGAGCTTCACACTATCTGACCTCCATTCAAGAGGAAGCCCGCGTAAGAAAATATCAACCAAAGTTCGCTTATGGACGCCCATTATGAGTTCCAAGTCTGATAAAAAAACATGCACACTCACCAAAACTTTGTGCATGTGAACACCGTAAAGGGCGAGTTTTTTGGAGTTGTTGAGGAAATTCCGATCTGCCATTTCCGGTGATTGGCCACTGAAAAGGTTAACAGTTAGCGACTGCAGCAGCAACATCAACAGGCGTGAGCACTTCCAGCAATTCGTCCGCTACCCTGTCTACCCTGCTTACGAACAATTAAAAAAAGGGATAGAAGAAGTGAGACAAATAATTTGGGCGCAAGACTTCAAAAGAGGTGACCAAAGGAAAGGAGGTCATGAGTAGAATGATGGTGCTGACGTAATAGCCTAAATAGATAACAGCCATCGAATAGAAACAATCTATGCACAACACTACGGGTCGAAGTCGCTAATTCCAAGCTTCAGACCACAATCAACTCAAAATTAGTTGATGCAGCATAGTGATGCAGTTAACTCATGCGTAGGCTTGAGTCGCCTTACGATGTTAAGAGTTGGATTCGATACGTACACCTCAAGGATAGTAATAATCCTGATAATGAATTTGTAGGTCTGCGGGATCACCAATGCTCCACTGGCAAGTTTGTGGACTAATTAGAACTTAAGCTGAAGTGCGCTAATAATACTACCATTTCCACTCATTTCGAATGTTAGATTTTCTCACTTCATTCCTAAAAAGCATGAACTATAAAATGTGCCGTGTACCAAAATGATAGACTCCACTGTCTTCAGACAAATTTAGACCCACCAATCTCTGAGTCAGTGGGGAAGTCACCGCAGAGGCCCATAAAAAGCACAAAGGTAAAACTAACACAGGGACACTAGAGTCTACTGATATCAGCAACAAGGTTTCGCACATTGTAACAATAAAAGTCCAGTTGCTGAGGTAAGGGATGAAAGAATAGTAAGGGACTGGTAAGAAAAAAAGTAAACAAGGAAGGGTACGGCTCCGGTAGGCACAACGTAGTCAGTTGCCAAATATAGACAGAGAAAAGCCTCGTCATCTCATGCACGCCTACAACGACTAAAGCCAGAGCCTGCGCCTTCCAGAGGCATGAGATTTGCGCAGCGTTGCTGAGAGACACGTAAATGAACGTCTCGAGTATATGTAATGGAGAGACTGAGGAACGAGGTTTTCGAGCCACTTCTCTTGATCGGGAGAAATGGATAGGATAAAAGATGTAAGAGGCATAAGTTTGGTTGCGTTGCATTCGCTTGGGCCTTGGTGTGGCAGCAGACATGACGATTGACTGCAAAGCTAGAGTGTAACCTATCATCATATTCTCAGAAATAGGGACGTTAGATGATTACTTTAAAACCATCTGAGTAAATGGTGGTCCTAGGGAGTCCTGACCAAGACGTGAAACGAAAACTCAGGCAATTTTACGGTGATAAATTAGCATACTATCTCTCAGATCCCAATGAATGGATCCCTAACTAAAAGACGGTTGCTATACTATAAAAAATGAAGTGATTCGAAATCAATTATTTTTCTTCAGCAACGAATGCATAGTAACGACAACTTAGGATCAGTTTACAGCTTGGAAACCCAAATCCTTATTCGTAGGTGGCATCAAATATGACTTTGTGTCAATTTCAAATTCTCCGAAGGGAAAAAATTGCGACAGAATTAACTAATCACTATCTTCATCCCAAGTGGCGTGTGTATCATGTAGGCGGAAGTGATGTCCATAGAAGTGCGTTGAGTTCTGTCGCAATGGTTTGCGCTATTTTTACGACCTCAACAAATTCCCTTCCATAAATTAATTGGACTTCAGGATGAATGTAATACCAAACATAAATGGCTATCGTAGAAATGCGATTTTTTCTCCATCCAGATGAGTGCGACTTCCACGTTGCGCCTTTGCATAGCCAACAAAACATGGAAACCACACTATCTTGATTGAAACCCAATGAAGAATAACTGAGAATGCATTTGACACCCTCTAATTCGTAAGAGAGCACCTGAGGGCATAAAATACCATGGGACACCCCCATCCAGCAAGCAGAATGCCCAAAAGTCGAAGCAGAGGAGAACCATAAAGACCTACTGGTGGAGGCGGTGGGTCTCGGTGATGCGATAGAGCATCTCGGTGCTTTGTAGATGGCTGGGAGCGAAGGGGTGGTCGCGGATGTAAGCGATGCCCTGATGCTGCTTCGGGTCGAAATTACCCGCATCCGATTGTACAACGTAGGAACCGAGGATGACATAAGAGAAGAAGGAGCACGGGAGTCTGATGTTGAAAGGTAACACAAAAAAGAGGAAGCATTTTAGTTCTCATCTCTAACATCTGCGTCATACTGTCCCTAAATGCAGCACCCTGTGGTTGAACAAGATTAGATACGATTATTGTACGGCTGTCATCACTCTTAGGCGTACCCAATGAGGTCGCTCACCAGTCAAGTAAGAACAGGTCTCATGACTGGCAAATGGTTAAACAGGATAACGCGATCTAAACTAAAACAACAGAATGAACGAGGACCAACTCATGTTAAAGCCAATTCCTTACCGCCAGATTTACCAATCAGGAAAAAGTACGAACTTTTCAATAATAAGAACATGAAAAAATGGATTAAGGGAAGACCAAATAACGAAGACTATAATAAATTATTTTTCATCTTTATAACCTATCTTTCCTGTTTCCGGGATGACCTCGATTCATACATCGCCAGGAAAGTTGGTTGGATAAAAACCAGAATTTCACAAAAACCACAAACTCTACAATCGCATTGTTGATAACACAAAATTAACAGTTTATCCGTGGCCATAAAAAGTAAATGGGCCCCATAGTTGAAATATTTGCTCGAAGGTTGACCGGAGATAACGACAAGGCTAAAAATGGATCGGAGTCAGTGAAAATGAAATATAATGAGGTGGACTACAAATTCGTTTTCAGAAAGCAAAGAAAAGGCGAATTTAGAATAAGAGAGACAATGCAAAGCCCTGGCCAACGCTCCCAAGGAAGGCGGAGATAGAAATAGGTTCAAGTGACAGCGGTTTTCGCAATGGGAAAGGATTCAAGCGGATGACTAAACCCTGATGAAGATGCTGTAAAATTCTTCGTCAATTTCGGAAACGAAAACTCATTTATTGGTAAATAGAACAGGAGTGATAAATGTTTAAGTAATTAATCATAGAGGTGGCAAGGCATAAGGAAAATGGTTTAACAAAGAGGATGAACAAACCAGTCAAATAGTTTGCCTACAGGATAATTCAGCGGCAATGAAATATCTCTTGCAGGTGTGAACACATCCCACGTGTTACTCCAGTAAGCGTGAGAAAACGTTCAAAACAAATGTATGGAACGGGTGAAAACTAGCTAGTGATCAAGACCAAGTATTGGATCGCGTAATTTACAGTGTCAACAAAAATGCATGCAAAGAAGACAGCGCGTGTTCGAACAACCCTCAAAAGTAACTTGGTTTCTCAAGACAATTTGGAGAGTAAAGCTTTGTCTGAATTGACTGGGAGCTATAGAGATTATGCCAAATTAACTTATTATTTCAGAGCACTCAACATTGACCAGAAGGTTGGTCACCAGGGCAATTAAAATGGACGTAGCTTTCCAATTAAAAAAGCTAGAAAATACTTTTAGGTCCATCACCTTCATGGTGCCAAAAGAGGCAGAGAATGGGTGAACCCGTAATTAATCAGGCGTCAAACCCCCTTAACCATGAAATCAACATGAAAAGTAGTCAGAAACAAGTGTTTAATTCGGAGTCAGATCCAGATTTAATTAGTTAAATTCAGAGGAGTGATTCCTCTTGAAAAAGTAGGGAGTAGCACTGACAAAAGGGGACAAAAAAGAGAAAGTTCAAATTCTAGAAATGCTGCCAAGAGAATACGAATCCGGGTTCTTTGTATGACAACCAAGTGCTTGATTCCGACATTGAAGATGAAATCCAGACTGCGTCAAAACGTATATTTCCTCACTCCATCGGCTTCAGATTTAGTGCAAACAGAAAAACCACAGAAGTGGGGACATATGATAGGACATACAAGCCAACAAGTTTGGAGGATGCTTACTAGTTGTCTGAAGGGTTAGGGTTCCAAAAAAGGTAGCTGATGGAATGATAGAGATTAAATTATGCGATTACTTAATCCCTTGTAAGATCAATTTTACCTTAATTAAGATCATAATCCTATTGTTAAACATCACGAGGTGAAGGTCCTTCTGACGCCACGTTTTAAGTGACCTGATAATAGAACGGTGAAAATTATTTGAAAAAAATACTCTTCCTCGCATTGACGAAAGTGTTACAGTTCCCCTGGAGCAACTTCGACAATGACGGAAGGCAGCCCTGTGCCTATTCAAACAGCCGTTGGGCAGGTTACCATATATCAAATAGTAGGCGGCCCATCCCAAAGCCATTTTTCCGCCTTCGCAGCGATTAACTGATTCAGCAGAAGGAATGCTTCTCTTTTACAGCGCTGTTAGCACGATCCAGCACACGTGAACAATTGGTCGGTGTGCACAAAACAGCCCCGGTAATTTGGATGCGCGTCTATGAACACCCCACATCCTCTTCACCTTTAAAAGTAGGCGACGATAAAACAGTTGACTACTCCACTTTAGTGATCACCTTAACGATGGATAATTGAAAGCTTTAAAACAGGAAGACATCAATTGCGTAGTATAAGTAGCCGTATTTTACACCGACGATAGTTCGAACGAGAAACGAATTTCATATCGTGAATACATTCTGCGGTACAGCACTCATCATTGTGTTGAGGTACTGTTTACGAATGAGGCTGGACAGTCAATACATGTAAACGGAAGCATGAACGCTGAATGAACAAAAAAGGCAGTAATAAAGGTAACACTCGTTGTTGGTGGGCTACGAGGAAGAAGGGAGAGATCTCACTCGACCATCTCATTGACATCCACCCCTGAAGCTGTGGATATCAACAGCTACATAGAGTGACATAAAATGAAAGTGCGTTTCAGTACTAAATTCAGACAGTAAAGTAGTTCCGCATTATCATACGGTGTTGACATAGAGTAACGTAGGAAACAGAAGTCGCAACTGCAACTAATACGGTTTTAAAGCTCAAGAAATATATTTGAAACGTGGAAGTTCTGCTGAGGTAAACTAGGTCAAACGTGAGAAAAAATTAACATTACAGATCTTTTAATTGTTCAAAAAAAATTCTAAACAGTTCATAGGGAGTTCACGTCAAACATTTGACGGGAGTTGAGACTTCTCAAGTGAGATTACATACAGCACAATCAGTATTTTAAGTGCAAAACTAAGAATGAGCGCGTTATGGTTAGTGTTCTCATGAGATGCATTAATTGCCGGTTTTATAGCCATAGTGGACCTGACCATTCAAGCAGAACGGCAGCAACTACTTCAAGCGCATTTGACACACTAATTTTCTTGGCTGAGTTCAAGGCCGCAAATACATGACATGCGGTCTTCGTCTGTTTGTGATAATCGTTGACACGAAGCTTCACGTACAGAACAGATTTGTTGAATTTGTAGAACTTGAAGAAAGTTTCACTTTTACCTTTGATGCATTACCAGCTGAAACCGTCAAAGGAACTCATGCCAAAATATGTCCAACTAGAAGAACGAAGCACAGACCATGGTAACGACGCTGACAGGGTTAGTGTCAGACGTCCAACCACTTATACATACTTTCAGTAGAGGACTGAAAGCTAAGGAAATTCATATTGCCTGTTCCGGACGCTTCAAAGGGAGTGCGACTTGAAAGGATATGCTATTAAAAAGCGCCACAATATTAAGTGAAAAAGGGTTCAGTGTAAAAAGAATTTTCTCGCACGACCAAACAAGCGGGTTTCAGTTTCGCTTCGGACACAAAAGGTTTTACTAATCCTGGCTCAGTGCCCCGCTAGCGGCAATTACATGAGCACACCACAAGCCTGGATGAGAATACGAAAAGTAACTCACTGTCCACTGAGGAGGTTCTGCCGAACTTGGAGGCACAAAAAGTAGCGGGTCAAGTCCTCAGCTATCGAGTCGATGTCGTAAGGGAAGAACTTTACTTGAAATTCGAAGAGCCAATTCTCTGCAAGAAGAGACGGCATTTTTGAAGGCTTTGATGCGTTACTAAGGCTGGGGGGTCTAAAATTAGCGCAAACACGCGCAGTGTTTAGCTTACTTCCGACTTGCTTTGCGACCTTCTTATCCATCTTGAGCCAGCACTGAAATTCAAAAAAAATGCACATATTGGTGAACGCAGCATCCATGTTAATTGGCAGGACAGCCATCACTAAAGACAGGAAGAGGCTATTCAACAATTCACGATGACCAATATGAAATGTCACACGAAATTCAGCCGTTTTAGTTAACCATCTCAAAATCCTACTTCTGAGAACAGCAAAATACCCTATGTTTGCACGTCAAAGTTACGACCCGTGGGAGCATAGGCTGTAGGGCGCGAAAAACAGGAATTTGAGACTAGCTTTATCAAATACATATTGTGGATATGGCAAACAATAGAGAAGGCAAAAAAATTTATCAGATCTGTGAGTGAAATCGTAAGAGTGCAAAGTTTTATTCAAACTAGAGGGGAAATTGTTTCTGACAACTGAGAATACCCAAAAAAATACGAAACCCATGGTCTGAGGAGCCAACTTTACTTGCTTCGTACAGCTGCCTGAGAGTGACTTCGCTTCTAGGAAGCTTAATTATGAAGAAGAATGTATTTGTTCCAACTGGAAAAAAGGTGCTCATAATTGGTTGGCTAACAGACCACTTTATTTCAAAGAACAAGATGGTTATAATCTGATCCACGTTTGAGAAATTTCGTATTGGAAGTGGCAAATGACGGAAAGGCGGTAAACCAAAGCCACCCCTTAATCCATTCTGGTACTACGCAAGATAGCCATTTACTTCTCAATAGGCCAAAAGAGAAAGTAGGTAACTAGGCCCAAAATTGCACTTGTTAACGTTGATAACCGGCAATATATAATGAAAATGACAAGTGTGTCTGACGCAAACAACATAGCCAAATTTCATCGAGGATTGGGAGGGAGCCTATCACTTTCCCACTGATGATTTCAAATTGTCTTCGCAACCGCGAGACTCATAAATCCCAAAAATTAACAAGACGGCTTATTCTTAAGGAAATGTGGAACAGTCATATAAGTGCATGCAACTTTTAGCATGAATCCAATTATTCTTCAAAAGCTTCACACTATCGTTTCGCCCCCCACCTCAACACGATCACAGCGTCATGATCCTGAAATCGAGCAATCTTCGTCATCCCCGTTTCGGCCGATTATGCATTAAAACAGACAAAATCGCTCACCCAGTGGACAACAAGGTGATATTCAATGGGGAAGTGCCAATCAGAGAAGTTACGAACGGAGATGGGAGGTAGCCTCTCATACTTAACATGTAAATCAACCCAGAGATCAGTTCACGACTTCCACCAAATGGATGAGTAGTCTTAGTCAACCATAGAAAAGTTAGCCTTGAGTATCTGACTGGATCGACCGCACAGGTTTAGTTCGAATTTGTTTGACCTTCGCCAAGACCAAATGTAACATTCCGCCCACAGGTTGCCAAACATAGAAACTCTCTCACGGACGAAATGGGACAGGAAAGGAAAGCCGACCATTTGAAATTAAATACTATGCCAATTTGCTTAACAATACAAGGCTACAGCAAACTAGCCAAAATGCAGACCCGTTGATTGAATGAGTAATGGCTGGCTGGGGTTCACTTAGAATAAAACGCCCCCATGTGATTTGTCAAATATCATCCACTCGGGATGGAAATGATTTCCTGCAGATGGATTAACAGATCAAAACCATTTACATGTTAACTTCGGCACAGTTTAATTTAAACAATAACATGTGGTCATTGGGTCACCAAAGCTCGTCGGAAAACGCAATTTGAATGCATAAATTGCAGAGCGTTTCAAATCCATGCTTACGTATATTGAAGTCCCGCTAGATACCCAGTTCTACAAGTCATCGTCAAGTAAACTAAGCCATTTGATGCGAATTTAATCAAGTTCTCTGAACGCCCCTTACCTTTGTAAGTTGATTGTGAGAAGGAGGAACAATCACGATTATGCCCTGCAAAACCTTGGCAACAATTTGTTGAACAACTGTTCAAGTGCGTGAGTGAAACAGAAGTTAACGCTTGCGTGTTTTCAAAACTTTGCAACCGCTAGAAATTTTTGGGCGCTGCAAGAACCTACACCTTGTACTATGGCATTTGCACGATGTCATCTTTACTTTAACGAAAAGTAGACACTTGGCACCTACGTGTATAGGAAACATTACGTGTCTACGACGTTGAAAACAACCCTAGATCGGGACTACTGATGATGGCCGGTTTCTGTTGAGGGTGCGCGACCACTAATGTCCTCAGGGGGATGAGTGACGGGAGCTAAGGTGTCGTCTTGTTTGCTGCTAAGGTCACTGTAGATTTCCAAGACAAACTTAGAACGAGAACACCACTTACCATGGTATTGTCAGGGGCAAGAAATTTAATCCCAAAGAAATCAGTCTCTAACAGATCCAAGTTGGAGCAGACAGCGTCAAAAAGCTGTTGACCGTAGGCCGCTTTCTGTAAGAACGATTGAAATGGAAAATGAGCGTAAACGCAAATAAGTAGTAATAATAACTTATCACCAGCCACATTTTGTTAAAAGAGCCACTAAATGCACATACTAAGTAAACACTTGATTGACATCAGATCGGTTATACTACGCCTTGCATTCGAACCATCTATAGCACACAGGGGACTATAGCAATCTGTAATGCCCAAACTGGAAGGCATATTCGATAGAAGTCGAGGAAACAGAGACCAAAAAACGTTGAAATGAGTGGGCTACCGTGATAACTTCAAGGTGGCAAAGAATGCTCCAACACACCCAAACAACTTTGTGCACTGAAATCTTGAGAATAATGAATAAAGAAATGTCTTATGAAAGGTTCAACAAAGGAAACACTAAACTGAAGCCTTCCAGACCCTGTCCACCGCCTTGACAACCTGTAAGTCAAAGACTTGAATGAAATAATTTAGGTGCTCTGATCATAATAAACTTCTACAGAGTAGCCGCTAATAATCTGGATTGAACGACACGCCCATACAAAGCCAGCAAGAGTAGCTTCGTAAGTTCAAATTACTTTAACTTCTTTGAAGACTGACGACAGATGTAAGAAGGAACATTACTTACATCGATGCTAAACGTCTGTTGAAGTCCATCCAACATGATGACGGCACAGTCAACAGACTTGCCAGAGCGTTTAAATTTCGAAGCTGAGGTGTTGGAGCGTCCGAAAGTAGCAGCGCGCACCATGGTGGCGCTAGGGTAGGGAGATCCTACCGCAGTCACAGGACCAAGAGTGTTGGTCCCACCACCACTAAAACCACCACCAAACATCGATCCGCCCGAAATGCTTCCCTGGCGACCAGTGGTACCAAAGCGGCGCAGACTAGTGTAGTATTCGCGCTTCGGAAATGAGTCAGGAACTTTGATTGTGTTGTTATACTGTTGGAGCGTCCCAGCTCCGCCCCGACAAGTGTTCTGCTCAAGGTGCGCCAGATTGATCGAATCTGCAGTGGTGTCACCACCCACTGACCTTCGACCGGGAGATCCAATCACGGAACTTCCTTGGTAGGCAAAACTATCCTCCTATTCAAGCAGCAGTAGATAAGGTTGATTAAGAAGCAGGAGTGCAATTCATTATGTACTTATATCGGCATTTCAGCATTCAGTAATGCAATGAGTTCAAGATAACAAAGGAGATGCAAGTGCTGCAAGGGCAATCGATGCGGAAAAAAGTGATGAGATTTTATCAAGCGAGGGAATATAAAATATTAAATTACCGGAGTTAGCGAGTAGACTATGCTCTAGAAATAGTAAACACAATAAGTTTTGGTAGGTCAAAAGAAAATGCTGAGTGAAGTCAAGACCAACATAAATCCGACTACACACAGTGGTCTGTCAAAGGAACCATGCGCCCCAACCTCACACATGCATTACTACGACCGAATAATCATCCGAATGCAAAAAGGAGATTGGTCCCGACAAAACGTGCGTTATGAAAAAAATTAGTGAATGAAGTGCATTAGTGCATACCACCACTGAATTCTTCGATCTTAAAAATTAGTGTGTATAGTCTAAAATTCGAAACGTACCACACGTGAAGTGCACCGGAGTCAATGTACCAGCAATACACATGCGATTAGTGAAGAAAGACAAAAATATTACCAAAATAGGAAATATTGTGGAAATCAAAAATTAGGTGAAGTGCCTAAGCCTAACGATACTGAAAACTTTTACGAGTGAAGCAGTGACGTACTCTTGGCCAAAACATAATCCAGTAAGTGGAATATGACAAACAAATAACATTGGGGCAAGTAAATGCTAAACCGTAAAAGGCGATAATAAAAAGTGAGAATAAGACAAAAAAGACAGTGATGCTTGCGTATCAAAAAGAGAATGGTGGACAATCAGAGAATGCTACATCACAATGTGAAACAAGGCTTACCGGAGGAAGAGCCATTGATACAAAAGAATTACAAAAATCTCATGTGAGAGATGGAGGACCGGGAACACGAACACCGAAGCAAGACCAGCAATCTGTGATTGGGCGCTGAAAAGAATTGACAATGAAGAAAGGTCGAAACCTATACAGTTAAACAAATATCAGTATATAATTAACCAATATATGTTTAAGCCAAGTTCCATACTACATGTAAAGTTATGCAAAAGATTATTTTAAGTACAATGGATATCGTGTTTGAATATGTCCGATTGCTAATGTGCCAGATTTTGCATACACTCGAGTTTTGTGCATTTAAGCTTCGCTCAAGGATCTAGGCAAACGCAATAGGAGGTACTCTGGTAACGACATAAGACTCCAGGTCTGATATCATACGGCAACGGACATCGGTATGTAACTGCATTAAGGCAGAATGTGCAAAGTCGAAGTCATTACCTTACCCGAAGGCAAACCCATGCGGCGAAAACATGGCGGTCACTGAAGTGAATGCCATTCATACTTTGTTTGTGCAGCAGCATGATGTCTTATAGTTAATGTAAGGTTCGTCTTGCCCAGTCTTCGGGCCATGCTCAGGCTTGACCTCTTCTCCTCCCCCTTGAATTACACGTATTCAGATTTATTTAACGCCTTCCTCCACCCAGTGGAAAGTCTCAGAGCTCTGCCGTAGTCAAAAACACAAAAAATTGCAAAATTTTTGTTGCGGGTATGATGATTTTTTAGTGGCACTATCTGATCTCTGACGGTTATTTTGGAATTCAGTTTGTAGTTGCACGCCTGAACTGAGGCCATGTCGCGCCTCCTTCTCTTTGAGTACATATATTCTGCTCCATGACATGCCTTTGTATCCCTGGCAGGAAGGTTTGGGACGTTACAGTATTTGTGATGGAGATTTTAAGGCAAAAATTTTAAATGGCTTAAGCCGGTGTGAATTCAGTTGCTATAGCGCCACTGGTCGAATTCGTGGACAAAGTGTCGATGTAGTAAATATTGGTTTTTTAAATTGTGCTTTGTATAATAGAAATGCGAAATCGGTATAGGCATCGAAAAATTGAAAGTAAGGATCCTTCCATGGGCTATCCCATATATCTTAGCTGTACCCCCACTCCCGCAGACTGTACCAACACACCAATGCCCAATGACTCTCAACACACTACCTTTTTTCGGAATAGAGGCAAAAGAAAGTTGTTGCGGTCTGTCACGGTTCCTATAATATGGGTAAGCATCTCAAAGGTTTGACGAATTTAATAATAACAAGGGTTTCATTCGTTAAGAAGTTCATGTTTTCCTCTCCCAAATTTATGCCCTCCTAGGTCCTTCCTCTTTAGTAATAGCCCGCATAAGGCTTAGCCGAATAATTGCACTCAGAAAATAGGGTAAACTTTGGAATCGACATGGCTCATAATTTTTTTGCAAAATGGATTAGGTAGTTAAAATAAATTAGTGGTAGGTAAACTTGTACTTGAAGGTCAATAGGCGGTTTGGGGAGTGTTGTCATTAAGTAAACCCGTTCATGGTCTTTGTTCTGGTTGTTTTAATAACCAAAAAATGCAAACAAACCTTTTTTAAAAGAAATGCGTGTAAAATCTTAACAATGGGTAGAAAATAGCTTTATTTAGGATAAGATGTGTGGCGTCCCAAGATTTCCCACCAGGTAGAGGGAGAAGGTAAGTGGAGTTGGATAAATGTATTCTAAGGAGAACAGAAGGCTATGCACAACAGAGTTTAGCTGCAATTTCGCCAGACGTAATCTTTATTCCCAAATCAATAGTAAAGTATCAGTGCTGCATGTGCAAATCTTGGCCTTGGTCCGAGGCGAATAGCCCTGCGCCATCCAAATAACCCCATTTCTTTCCTCTTCATCAAGTGCACCTAGTCCCTTTGCATCTTATATCCTACATCGTAGGCAAAACGCCCCAAGGTTACACCTTTGTGACAATGGAGCGCAGACTCCACCTAACAAGTCTTCTCCCATCAGCATTTCTACTGCTGCATCACCGACCCCATAGTGGCAGAGGTGGATATCGGGTCTACCTTTGACTCTCACTTCAGTTTTCTACTCCATGAGAACTGTGTTAGCATTTGAAACGACTCCGACAGATTTACTGCCATACCTACATGAAGGTGTTAACAGCGAGACTAGTCGAGACTAGTTATTATCCATGGAAGCATGTTGAATGGCATGCTCCCACCCATGGCCTGTTTGTAAGCTAGTAATGTAGTCATCTGATTGAGCACGCGTGATGGGCAGTAGCAATGGTGGGAGAGTTTAGTGGTATTGGGATCAAGTGTCGTCTTAGTAGAGTGTGAAGTTGAGGGCTGGCATGGTGGTTAGTGAAGGAGATGCAATGATTGAGGCGAGCAGATGGGAAGGGAAGAGGAGAATGTCCGGGTGGGGGAGTGGTGCGAAGAAGTGTAATAGTGAGCTTATGTTGTGGGGTTTGGAGTGTTAAGTGAACATGTGGTTACCGCTGGCTGATCTGATTTTTGAGTAATCAGTTACATTTTTCTCTTTTTTTGCTAAGTAGGAGTATTCTGGCAAAAATTTTTATGTTATCTGCGAAATCGAATCAAGTATGTTTTATTAAAGAGGCTGCGATCTTGTGTACTTTGTGTTATCTTGCTTAGCAAGCAATATATAAATGTAAAATGATTATATTTAAAATTTGCGTTAATTGAGCTTTAATTTGTTTATAATTTAAGTGACATAAACACTTATTAAGTGCTATGTTCGTGTCTTTTAACTAACCACTATACATGTACCTTTACTATGATTTAGCAATTCCCAAGATTTTTAAATGTTTTGCTTTTGATTGGGTGGGCAAAACATGCCTGCTTTGTGGTTGGTTGGTCTTTTCCAATCTTCCTATTGGTTTGCGTCTGTTATATATACTCGACGTTTAGATTAATTTAGAGTTTTCAAACAATGGCTAGTAAGGAAGGGGTCGAGGACATTAGTATGGAGGCTGGAGTTGACTACGTAGATGAGGATTCGCCCAAGGATAGGTTCGATACTGTTTACTATCATTGTGTCTAGGTGTCGGCTTGTCTATATAATATTTTTTTTCATCGGTATTGGCTCGCTTCTACCGTGGAATTTCTTTATAACGGCTAATCAAGTAATGCATACCTCATTTAATTGAAAAGTATTTTCAATACCAACTTCGGAATCAAAGTCTGCCGAGTGATGTTGATCCGCTTCTTCCGATGTATAGAACACCATTACAGACTGTTTTCTCGAGTTACCTAACGATTGCTTCCATTGTACCGGCAACATTGGCGAACTTCGCTAATCTCATGCTAAAAGATTGGTTTGTCTACTATGCTGTCTTTATTGTAAAGCCTTCCTGTGTATACTCGCTTGATTGGATCCGCTGTAGTCATGCTCGTTATATTCACTATCACAACCGCTCTTACAAAAGTTACAATTGGTATGTCCCATTTTCCTCGGTGTTTGATTTCGTCTAGATACGAGTGCTTTCTTCGTTACTACTCTGGTGACTGTCATGATAAACAACGGTAGGTGATCCTCATCTCGATTTACTTTTAGTCGGGAGTTCCATTAACCAAGGGAGCACTTACGGTATTCTCTCTGTGCTTCCGGGAAGTAACGTTCGAGGCTTCCTCGAAGGCCAGGTAAGATCGTGTTATTTTTAACTCGAATTACGTAATAACTGGACCTACGTTGTCACAGGCTGTGGCGGGTATTATCGCCTCTGCATCCAACTTAATAACTATAGCAGCTGCAAGCAATCCACGAGATGTAGGCTTCGCCTACTTCCTGATTGCCGTCTGCATTATCGCCTTAACTATCAGTTTATTTATTGCCCTCTTCAAAAATGTAAGTGTCTCTTAAAGCACTCTTATCAGCTTTACCAGCTATCTCTTCTAACTGTCAGCTATTATATTATTTCAGCCTTACTTCCTTTACTACTGGAGGAATAAAGGTAAACATTGGGATTATCAAGGTTCAACTACACTGCGCAGTTTTAGCCTAAGAAGGCATTTTTGGTCTGATTTCAGGTGCTACCGCCACGGACGACAATATGCCTTTTGGCGAAAAGTTGAAAAAGACTGTGGTCAACCTCTGTCATGCAATGTTGGAGGTCAAATGGCCTGGTTTCACCATCCTCCTCATATTTGCTGTCACCTTAGCCGTCTTCCCCAGTGTCTTCATTTTGATCGTTCCCAACAACTTTGATGAAAGTAGTGCATGGCACAGTAAGTCTCTGGAGGACTATTTACCGTTTGACACATTCACTCGAGTTCTTAGGACATTTCTTTTTGTAGCTAAATACTTTCATGGAGTGATTGTCTTCTTGAGTTTCAACATTTGCGACTATCTGGGCCGTATGGCAGTCGGTTGGTTTAAGTGGGTAAGTTGGAGTTGTTCTCTCGACGATTAGTGTCCCACTAAAGCAAATATTGTCCATGTTTGGCTACTCCAATTTCACTACTTTGTGTCTTTGTGATCTGCAGCCTCCTTTTGAGCAGCGAAAGGTCTTCCTTGCCTTGGCCATTGTTAGGGCCATACTTGTCCCCTTGGCGATGCTGTGCAACATTCCTTCTCAACACATCCCCACTGTCTTCTACCACGACTCAATCCCCATAATTCTGGTCATCTTGCTGGGCTTAACGAATGGATACTTCGTCGCCTTGGCTGTCAGTTATGCACCAAGGTAGGAAGTTAAGCCTTCCCAGTGTTTCATTGCTTATGCACCATCTTTAACTAAAATACTTTGCCTTTGAGTAGTATATGAGAGTGGTAGAGCGTGCAGGTGTGGGTGGAGCTACAAATTTTAATTCTAATTCCCTATGTTCTTAACAAATGGATCGGATTTGAAGCCTAGTCGGTGGCTTAAAATAACGGCAAATATGAGGGGTTGATTTGCGTTCCCATTCAATCCGTCCTTTCAGATATGCCTCGGCGGGCAACGAGGAAGGGTGTGGCATTGCAACCTCCACTTACATCGCTCTTGGTTTGTGTCTCGGAGTCACTCTCTCCTATGGAATGGTGGCTCTTGTCTAGATCCCCTCTCCACATTGTCCATCTCCCAATCAATGGTCATTTCCATTTATGTGTATTTTTGGTCAATGCTTTTAAAACAAATTGAGTTGGTGTCCCTTCACTTTCCTAGGTTATCCTTTCAGCATTCCAAATTCTTGCTTGGTCTGCTTCGTACCTGTTTTTGCCTTGAAAGACCAAACAACTGCATTAAAAATACCGTAGACAGGATTAGTGTTGGTCTTCCATGTTATTAGTGATGTAGAAAGAGAGATCAACTGCCTCCACACGTAAATGCAAGTGGTAAGGCTTGGAAGCACGCTAAATTGCGGACTGTTTTGACAGTCGACGACCAAATGGCAATCCAGAATCAACAAAAAGGGCCTTAGTTCGTGCGCCTGTCAGTTCTCAGTTAAAGTAATCAACCTCAGTTTGGTATCATCACTGTCTGCAAATTGTGATCGTCTCTGTACTACACAGGCTAGTATTCAAGATCAGCATTTTCAGTGACGGCTACTGATACCTTGTCGCATTCCACCACAAAGAGACGCTTGAACAACTTGACGTATTGCGCTGTATCATGGTTACGCACAATCCAAAGGCCTCAACTTCGCAATGTCCGTGTCTATTCTAGTTTAGGCTGAATGCACTGTCAGCCGTGCTACTGACACTGCAAATTATTCACATCCTCTTGTCATGTTTTCACAGAAAGTTGGCCTCAACTTCAGAGCCTTTTACAGCATTGTTTTAGTCATAAATTTGTTCACTCAAGAGGACAGATGGGAATGTCTATTAAAAAGTGGATATTTTCATCAACAGTGAGTATTTAGACACAACAGTCAAGCCATCTGTAGAGGCGACATGTTCACAGAATCGCGCAGTCCTTAGTCAAAACTGACGAACATGGCGCAGCTTGACACGTGATTACTGATGTCGAGATTGGGGTGAGCATCGAGAGTCCAATGCCTCAGTGAAGGCGCAATGGGGACTGGGACCGTCGATATCATTGGACAAATATGCATTGACTACGCACGGCTAATTAACCACCTCTGTTGAATCAGAAATGAGGTTTCTGCCACTTCCTCTATCGGTAGCAGCAGCAACTCGGTGTGTGCTTTTCATCTCATAGGCCAAAAGATTTGTCATTCAATTTTATCCCTCCTGCCTTAGAGAAAGTCTGTCGAAAAAATGCAATGCACCCTTCAAATACCTTTTAAAACAGGCTGTAGCATAGGCACGTAAACGCAGACAGTACTGTAAACTGGCAGTCATATCTTTTGCTAAGAGTTGTCAACCGTCCGTTTTTTTACTTAGAAGAGGTGACAACAGTAGACACTCTGTAGCAAATGTCATAGTTGGATCGACTTAATTGCCGGTGGCATTTACTTTTCTAGTCAAAATGGGTTATTCTTACATATGCAAGTGTGTGCACTTTCAGGCGGTAACACTGGAGATTCCATATTTTATAAAACTGACACTGATCATCGTTTTTATGCGACTGACACCTCAAATATTGCACCGTAATTTGAGTAGCAAACATTGTCTTGGGACATGTTTGTTGAAATCATGGCCTGACCATCTCCTTCCTCCCCCTCGCCTCCCCTCCCCTCGCCCTCCCTTCCCCCTCCCCCTTCCCCTCCTCTCCCCTTATCAAACATGCTCCCGCAAGCAACGATGGGTAAGACGGAAGTTTTATTGATGCTTACATATCCCTAAGATGGTCATCGCCACTCACACTCAGCTAGTCATTACTTGCTATCCGTTCTGCTATCGCCTTCTCGCTCACTCCCGCCTAATTTTGCTGAGCCCTCCTGCTCCGAGCCCAGTAAAGTGAGCTGCCACGACCACGTTAGACCCGACAATTAGCCGTTTAGTTATAACTTTAGTGGCAGTATGCCTAAAGATAGTTTGGATTGCTATTTTAATGTATACCGACATCTAGTGGAAGCTTTTTGATCACACGAAGCACTAAGCGAATAATAAACGAGGTAGACAACAATTGCTTATTGTTACAAACCTCTAAACCACAATGCAGGCAGCACATGAACAAATGCTTAAACAAAATGGAAACAAATCATCCAATGCTGCCAGAAGCACACCCTGGGCTATTAATATCTGCTAACCTAAATCGCCGATTGACCTGACAAGTGGTAAATCCATTTTATCGGACGTGGAGAGGCGAAAGTGATTTGGTTTAGTCGCCGCACTGGTGACCTGAGAAACTCTGCCAGGACGTGTTTTAAGTTGTCAACATGGTGAATGCAGTTTATTGCAATAATCAGCATCGACTTTAACTCCTTTGAAGAGTAGTAAACAAAAGAGACTTAAAAATCATATTATGTTCTTCCTCAACGTTTAGGCCAAAATTTTAGCACGCAACTAAACCCCTGCCCGCCTCCCTCGCACTAAGTAGAGCTGATAAGTTGTCTCCTCTCTTCCATATGTCACCCGCGGCATCAGCACCGAAAAGGCCGCTTTACATTCGAACCATGTGGCTAAGCCCTGACGGATGGAGCCTGTTCGACAAATAAGCGCGTATGTCGAGGCCTAATGTGACCTTCGTGACCTAATACGAGATAGGCCTGAACGATTGCTCCACCGAAGGTGCTGACAAATACGAGCTCCTTTCTGCTTGTCTCCGGGATGCAATGCCTGTTGTTCTCAGTCATTCCCCCTGGTAAACAATCCTTTTGTTTTGGAAAGCTAAAAGTACCCACCCAAATGGCCGGGTTCGGACATTAAACGTCAATTTTTGCCTTTCTAACCCCGCTTCCGGTCTGTACGCGATAGTGACAAGCTCCAGATGTCATGTCAACTGGTATCACATCTAAGGCCCAAACAACCTCCCACCCGGTACGGTCGCATGACTTACCGTGGTAAAAAATAGGGATTTTACTCACGTGCATTTACCTCGGTTTAGGTCAAACATTGTCATCGAATATGTCAGGAGAAGTAGAGATTTGTGAATCACTGTCAGGCTCCCCAAGTCACATCAACTACTAAGGGCAGAGTATTCTGTTCATCTAGTAGGATGCCTAGTGCCATGGAGTACGGAGAAATTACAAAAGCTTTAATGCGAACGTATGAGAACGCAAATGTCAGCATACCGCATAATACATGAATAAACTTTATTCTTGTAAACTTAACCACAATGTTTGCGAACCCGGTTCAGTGCAGGCAGAGGTCTTGATCCAATGAAGACCGAATGTCATGTGTGAGTTGCGTAGGACTCAGTTGCAGGAAATTGCGTTGCCAAACTCGACCGATGCTAATTCGTCGAGTTTTGAGAAATCATTTAAGGCTAAGGATGCCATAACATGGGGACAGAGTGCGGTTTAAGGGCATGCCAACTGGTGTTGAAAGCGCTATCGCGGTGCTGAGGTCCTGTTCTCTGCAAAGTGGACAGATTTGTAATATGGAAACTTAAATTTAACATTGTCACTCATTGCCTAATCATCCAAAGTGGACCATTTAATAGGCTCTGATGGCCATGATAGATTACATCTAGCTTCACGTTTATTCCCACTTGCCACTTTGCTCCCACCTAAGAACTTCCCATCTGATACACGGGTGGAGGAGGTATCGTCAGTTCACTCTGTTAGCGCCTCCATACAGGCAACTCCAACTCCTCCACAAGTAACTTCCACACACGGTTGATGAGGAGTGTCACCACGTTCATTTGTGGTGACCAAAGATGGATGGTCACCAATGTGCCCACTCGGAACAAATGCACTTCTTCAGTTCATGGAACGACAGCAGTTACCAGTGTGACTTGCTTACGAACTGAGTGTGTCATTTGCTGGCACCAACGTGGCACCGCGAGACTTCCCCAAAGGTGAAGCAGCGACACAGCAGATGATGGAGGAGACGACGCGGGTCAGGGCGTGGACGCAAATGTGTGGGCTGGGAGCACGATGGTGGAGACTTAATGTGGTTTCTTCATCAAAACGGAGTGTTAAGGAAAAAAAAGAATTTGATCCCCGGACTGAAAATCATCGATAAGCCCCTCTCTTTTATTAAAAAAGTTGGCGGTTTGTTCTGTACAACTGACAAGCTTATTCATAGGAAAATTCCGTAAAGCTGATGCATCACAGGCACACAAGCGAACATTACACACTCTAGCTACATCATCCGCATTTTCTGGTTCTGACCTCTACTTTTTATAATCTTCTTTTAACACTTTCAACTAGGCGGCTTATTTTTAGTGGGTGATGTGTTCGGGGATGTATCTTTGTTTCATTTGCAAGTAGTCTGTAGCGACTTAAGTGGGGGAACCACAAGCAACATGGACAAATATAGTAGGCTTCCACAGAACAATTGTCAATTACTATTAGCTGCTTACTTTAAAGGCAAAATGACAGGGCGACTTCAAATGAGCTGGGAGCAGGGAAGTTGGAACCAATGCAGAAGGTCCAGCAAGGCCACAATGAAGATCGAGACTGACAAACTCTTTTACCTTCCCAAATTCAATGGAAAATTGGATAGTGCTTTGGATGAATGCAAGTAAGCGAATAAGGCGCGGGTGGATCATTTGACCAGTCCGCCTACTGCCCTAAATGTTCCGAAAAGAACCACGTAAACCACCCAACCGATTTCAATCACTGCGTTCGAAATGCCCACGTAAAAGTGACCTTAGCTTGCCTTAAGTCAGTACGGAAATTTGACTTTTAAAATAATTTAACTCGATTAGGAAAAAAATTGTGTGTCGGTGTTGATTTTGACCGCGGTTTTGATGAAGAAACCACATTAAGTCTCCACCATCGTGCTCCCAGCCCACACATTTGCGTCCACGCCCTGACCCGCGTCGTCTCCTCCATCATCTGCTGTGTCGCTGCTTCACCTTTGGGGAAGTCTCGCGGTGCCACGTTGGTGCCAGCAAATGACACACTCAGTTCGTAAGCAAGTCACACTGGTAACTGCTGTCGTTCCATGAACTGAAGAAGTGCATTTGTTCCGAGTGGGCACATTGGTGACCATCCATCTTTGGTCACCACAAATGAACGTGGTGACACTCCTCATCAACCGTGTGTGGAAGTTACTTGTGGAGGAGTTGGAGTTGCCTGTATGGAGGCGCTAACAGAGTGAACTGACGATACCTCCTCCACGCCTCAGTTATAGCTAGACGGTTTTGAAGTGAGAGCAGTTTGGAGAGGAGTAGCCGTGAAATCTCATCCTTACAGAACTATCCCTTATTTTACGAGTCCGATTCTTCCACCTCTATAAGCGGCAGGTCCTCACTTCCTCTAAGTTATTTTTCAGAGTTGCCGTTTAAATTTTAATTAAATTTGATGTGCCATTGTTAGTCTGTGGACGATTTCCTGTGACACTGTCAACGTGACAAACGGGACTAAAGTAGCTTTCGGCAGCGTGAAAGTGATGGAATGTTCAATAACTTAACTGCCAGCTTAATTCATCTTTTTACTAATAAAATACTTGGGACTAAGCCATTTTCCCCTTACCATTATCTTGTTCATGAAGACGCCTCTCCCATCCCCATGTCCATGAATATCCTGCCCCAGTATTTTGTTGTCTCACGTCTTTGGAGTAGTCTTGACGATCTGCCTTAAGAATTAAGTCCCATCTGTGATCAGGCATTAAGTATTCAACACATTTCTTCCTAAGCACTCATACGCCTTGTAAAGTCGTCATCGTCCTCATTCACTCCCTTCGCGTCGAACATCCATAACACAGATAATCGCGAGGCAGTACAAATCGGATGCTTCCACTCGCATCAAAGAATTACTAATGCTTTGAGGCCTCAAAAAATTCGATGAGTTAGAGTTTTAGATGGTTCTCTTTGTATTTGCTATGTGTTGATATGCAAAATAGCCCCCAATCAGTGTGATACGTCCATCGTAGGCTTTTGTGACCATAACGAATGCCATTGAATTGGATTTTACTGAAAAACACTAACCTAGATTAAATTTGTGGTTCCTCAAATACCTCATCTGCAACAGACTAAAGATGGACCTAATGTACAGGAAGAATGGCTACAAAGAAATTCACACTCCTTTGCGATTTGGACTCCTTGAAGAAGTAATGAGGCATACCAGTAGGGACGACGCCGTACCACAGATGGGGGAACAGCTACGACCCTCCGGAGAGGAAGGTGCGACTGCATCACCCTACATCCGCAAGACGGTGGTAAAACCTACAAAGGGACAAAATAATAAGCACTAACTAGTGTCGTAACACCGAATTTTGGCTTTTCCGCTCTAATACCATGAGTAAAGCGTGCTTCCTTTCTGCCATGGTGATTCGAGGCGAGGACGCAGGGACATCATACAACACAGTATTTTACGTAATTATTTTCATCAATGTGAGTTAGGTTAATTTATGCCAATTAACCTAAGAGATAATTGTAAAAGAGTGAAATTTTCGGGTCAAGAGACGATTGTTTGTGCCTCATACTTGGTATTCACCTCACCCTTCCTATAAGTTGCCCTTTAGGCATTTTCCAGTTTCATTAAATGCACTAGAAAATACCGTAACGCCTCGCGACTTTCCTTTCAGTACTAGAAGGCGAGAAGGGGAAGAAGTGGGGCAGTTCACTCAGCCAAGAGCAAGATGAACACCAAGGCGACCGTCAGTCATACTGACAGTATTACATTCGCTGCCTTCCACCTTTTATATTTATGCGAATAAGTGTTGTGCCTTTATTCACAGTGGGCGAAAATGCCTATCAGCATTAGCAATCGAATGCTTTGGTGCCTTTCATATTTCTACAACGCCAATTTATGAACTTTTGGTAAAATTTGAGCTATTTTGCAATGCTTTTATTGTTTTGAGTGTTAAATTTCTGAATACAGCCGAGGATGTAGACCAGGAATTATGCTTGACCATAATTCCTAGACACCTGAAGCAGAAGAAAGTCAACTTCTCAATCCGCAATTTTTAACCTATACCGGTTTCATTAAGCCACACCATCCAGGCTGTTCAGGGAGGGTGCTGCAATAGAGGTTGTGCAACCGAACCTTCCCTCGAGAAAGGCTTTAAGCGCATGCCTGTGCCTAAAACATAGCGGACAAACATAAACAAATAAGTTTCGAATCTTTTGTAAGCTATATCATCAAAAAGCAATGGTATAAACTATCATTGCTCGTTTTTTTTTATTTTACTCACCGCACTTTCGAGTGCAAAACTGAATTTTAAGCCTGACTCCCAAGATGTCGGAAATGAGGGTTGTGTTGTTCTACCCAGAGATTAAGTCCAACATTAAATTTCTGTATCCACTATCAGATTTCAAATCAAACTCTCGATATACTCGCAGTGAATTTGGCATAATTTTGTTGCCGTTTAGTGGAAATCATCCTAACAGCTCTAAATTAGGCCAGCTATTTCGATTTTCCCTGTGACTGGGGGACAGAAGATTATTTAAAATGCCATTTTGGAGGAGGACAAAATGTTTCCCGTTTCGTCTTAAACTATATGTCACCTCGTACTCATAATTTCGAAGAAAACTGATCGGAGTTTGCACATTTCTTTATGTAGACTACCAGAACCTGGAAAGATAGAAATGGAAGCGCTACAAGGGGCTGTGCATCAAACTAATTATTCGTTTATTCAAAGGTTTCGTCAGCGGGATGTTTATCGGTTTCGTCATTGTGTCGAAATGTAGGTCACTCCAGAAGGCCAATTTGCCAGCGGATGTTGACTGTAAGGTCCGAGTTACATGCCTAATTGTGCTGTAAGAGTTCGTTCGGACAATTCATATATTTCCCATATGATCCACTAAAACATCTACGCCAAAAGATGTGATGTATATCACTGTAAGTGCGTTGATTTGGTAATTTGTATGTGTAATAAATTGTTTATATAAACACATGGCGTTTGGCGGTCAATTCAAAATTTGCCGGGTCCCATTTGCCGTGTCGTCTTCAGAATACATGTATTCAACCTCACTTATGCCTTCTTCCACCCTTCGGGAAGCCTCGGGACGCTACACTGGTGGCAGCAGAAATCGAACCCAAATTTTTTTCCCGACTTTTACGTATAAAGCGCTTTTGAAGATCTTCTGCTGCAGCCATGGTGGGGTCTCTCTCTGCTGCTTGTTCTTCGTTGGTTGGTTGTTAAAGGCGACATAATATTCAGGACAATCTATTGTCCAACAAACACCGCTGTCTCACTGATATCCTACGTTTGCGTTACTAAACTTCGCCAACCAATCGACTGATTTCAGGAAAAGAATAGCACAAACAAACCGAAGAGCAACGGTTCAATCGGATGATGCACTGGTTCAATACATACAGATACCCCAAATCGGGTTCCCTTGGTCGAAATGTCGATACCTCTCTTTTCACGACAAGAAGGTTATAATCCAACCAGCAGACAAGACCGCAAAGGAATTCTGCATTTTAGTGAGGAAATCCAAGAGTAATAAACGCATTTTGGCGTTATGCACTGGCAATCATGAGCTATACTTGCGTAGAAGGAAGCCTGATTCTATCGAAGTGCAGTAGATGAAGATACGGGCGAAAAGGGGATGTGAATTGAAGGAGGTGCATTTACCTTGGTGAAGGAGA